TATGTTTGATCTTGGCTTTAAGGATCGGTGGATTCGACAAAGACGGTAATTATTGCATCCACATGTCGACAAGGCCAATTTTCGTTCTCTCATCCGCCCTCTTCCCATTTCCAGGGCAGTCTGTGGAGGGGAGCTACATTAAGTCAAGTGTTTCGTCCTCCTCCTCCTCCTCCTTGTCCATGTCCTTCTACACAAGCCTCAACTTTGCAAACTACAACAACGAGGTGCACAACTTCTGTCTACTCACACTTCAAAAATAAGTAGCAATTAACGTTGTGTGGTAAAACTTCATTTGAGGAAAATATACAACTTTTTACTTATAGTAATGTAAAATCGATTCGATTGTGTACAAGTTCATGATAAAAACGATTAAAATGGACCTGTCAGGAAATGAAAAATAAATTATAAAGGCTCTTCCCGTTTTAAAGCCCGTAAAATCAACCTAAGAATGTCGTTTTGACCCTCTTTTTTGGCAATCGTCAAAGCCGTCTCGCTACGGCCTCTTCGTCGAGCTTTTGCATTAGCGCCTGTAAAAAGCATGAACATGTAAAGCGAATGATTTTGACTCAAAAAAATGATCTCCAATTGCAAAGCATGAGGGAGGAAATAAGAATTTGCTTAAGTAAAAGGGCAAAGTGGGGCACAACTCCAACAGCATACCAGCAGCCAACAAGGCATCAACCATGTCTTTCCTCCCCATGGCTGTGGCTTTCATGAGGGGGGTGTAGCCTTGTGCATTCACCTTCTCGAGGTCTGCTCCTTCAGCTATGAGAAGGTTTAAAATGGCCACCGTACCGGAGGTGACAGCTAGAAAAATGACTGGTGAAGTGGTGTCATCGGAGTGATTGACATCGGATCCATGTTGAAGCAGCACTTTCACCACCTCTGCATGACTCAATGCCACAGCCTCTCGAAGTCCGTAATAAAGCTCCGCACTTCGATCCTCTAGGGGGGATGCACGATCCAAGAGAAGTTGCACCACTTCCACATTGCCCTGTGGAAGCAGCATTGTGAAGTGCATTTGACATTGAAGCATGCGGAGGCGATTAAGTGGAAATAAATGTAAAAACAAAAGAAAAAAAACCTTAAGCACACCAAAATCATCTCACCGATCGGCATCCCAGTGTTAAGGCGGTTTCCTTCTTTTCATTCAATTGAGAAGTAAAAGTGGCATGATTGTTAAGCAAGTGACGAACAACCTCCTCATGACCTTTCATAGCTGCTCGCATTAGTGGGGTGTGAAGTCGACGATTGAAAACATCCACAGGACTGTGATGAAGCAGAAGAAGTATCACACAACGCAAATATCCTTTGCCAGCTGCATAGTGGAGGGCGGTGTTGCCCCACCTATCCGCATGACCAACTGAGACTTTGTGTTTCAACAATTCATGCATCACCTCATGACAATTGTTTTCCGCAGCTACTATGAGGGGAGTTTTTCGTCCAAACACCTCATACACATTTGGATTAGTCTAATAAAATAAAATAAAATCACTTATGCCATTGGCACAAGGTAGGCACGAGGTCAAGAGGTCACACACACAGCTTAACACCCCTCCTTCCCCCTTGCCCGCCCTTTGACCCACCCACGAGTGCAGCAGCATCGCTAAAATGCATCCAGCTTGGTAGGTAGTGAAAAAAAAGCAAACAAACAAACAAAAAAAGTTTAATTATACAACTCACACCCTCTTGAAGCAACTCCTTAACAGTGTCTAAGTTGTTGGCGTTGATGGCGGGGATCAAAGCCATCGCCTTTCTATCCGCAGGAACTGCAGGCACATCGTGTGAAACATCGCGATTCTCCTACAAATTGTCGTTTTTGCTTACTTTTGCATTACATATTTTATAATAATTAGTAAATATAAGGGGGAAAAAGCTTTTAAAAAGCCTCAAACATGGAGGACAATTGTCATTGGAAAATCAAGTAATTTACTGTCCATTGCCTAATCGGGCACAAAGTGGACATGCAGACGACTTTTGTCGCCTCAAAGACGTCCAATTTAGCCATCAATGCAACGCCTCCATTACCTTCTGCTCATCCATCACCTTCGAGGCGGATTTGGATCGGACTGAGCGCTAATTCGAGTCAGCCTCTCCTGACCACTGCTACGTGCACTCGCAGTTTTAATTCTGCTGCCGCAATTGTGTAATTGTAATCCATAAAGTTTGAATTTTAGTTTTAGAATGCAAAAAAAGTAAATAAAACTTGTTTTGGACGCGATGTAGCACATTTGTAAAGACGAAGACAATGCTTCTTAGTTCTTTAAATGAGCTTTTGAGGCGGGAGAGGAGATTTAAATCACGAGTCAACTTAAGGCGGACAGCGTCCAAACACTTCGGCTAGCTTCTCCTGTCGGACTGGAGCAGAGCGTTGGGGCGGGGCTGTGGAAAAGGCTCACGCAAGCCCAAATCTCCCTCGAAGAGGCATCTTGCACAGTGTGTGTGAAGATGAGGCGCATTTCCTCTGTGCAGTCGGAGGGCTTTTCTGGT